AAGACATAGTGTTTGGAGATACATTGCAGCCAACCTTCACTAGGAAGACATTTTTTTTTCTTGGATTGATTGATACCACTAACCTTTAATGTGGAATTTAAAACAGTTATAAACACTTGTAAGGATCGGCAAGCTATTGTTGCCAGAACATCCTCATTGATTATCAGATGATTCAGTCCATGAGTCTGGATGGAACAATCAGCTAGTTGCTATATCACCCTCATTGCGCATCATAACATTCAGTCTATGAGTCCTTAACCATTCTCTGGATGGAACAATCAGATAGTTGCTAAATCACCCTCATTGCACATTATAACATTCAGTCCATAAGTCTTTAACCATTCTCTGGATGGAACAATCAGTTAGTTGCTATATCACCCTCATTGCGCATCATAACATTCAGTCTATGAGTCTTTAACCATTCTCTGGGTGGAACAATCAGTTAGTTGCTATATCACCCTCATTGCGCATCATAACATTCAGTCAATGTGTCTTTAACCATTCTCTGGATGGAACAATCAGTTAGTTGCTATAACACCCTCATTGCGCTTCATAACATTGAGTCTGTGAGTCTTTAACCATTCTCTGGATGGAACAATCAGTTAGTTGCTATATCACCCTCATTGCGCATCATAACATTGAGTCTGTGAGTCTTTAACCATTCTCTGGATGGAACAATCAGTTAGTTGCTATATCACCCTCATTGCGCATCATAACATTCAGTCAATGAGTCTTTAACCATTCTCTGGGTGGAACAATCAGTTAGTTGCTATATCACCCTCATTGCGCATCATAACATTGAGTCTATGAGTCTTTAACCATTCTCTGGATGGAACAATCAGTTAGTTGCTATATCACCCTCATTTCGCATCATAACATTCAGTCAATGAGTCTTTAACCATTCTCTGGATGGAACAATCAGATAGTTGCTAAATCACCCTCATTGCACATTATAACATTCAGTCTATGAGTCTTTAACCATTCTCTGGATGGAACAATCAGATAGTTGCTAAATCACCCTCATTGCACATTATAACATTCAGTCAATGTGTCTTTAACCATTCTCTGGGTGGAACAATCAGTTAGTTGCTATATCACCCTCATTGCACATTGTAACATTCAGTCTATGAGTCTTTAACCATTCTCTGGATGGAACAATCAGATAGTTGCTAAATCACCCTCATTGCACATTATAACATTCAGTCAATGTGTCTTTAACCATTCTCTGGGTGGAACAATCAGTTAGTTGCTATATTCAACCTCATTGCACATTATAACATTCAGTCTATGAGTCTTTAACCATTCTCTGGATGGAACAATCAGATAGTTGCTAAATCACCCTCATTGCACATTATAACATTCAGTCAATGTGTCTTTAACCATTCTCTGGATGGAACAATCAGATAGTTGCTATATCACCTTCATTGCACATTATAACATTCAGTCAATGTGTCTTTAACCATTCTCTGGGTGGAACAATCAGTTAGTTGCTATATCACCCTCATTGCACATTATAACATTCAGTCTATGAGTCTTTAACCATTCTCTTGGTGGAACAATCAGTTAGTTGCTATATCACCCTCATTTCGCATCATAGCATTCAGTCAATGTGTCTTTAACCATTCTCTGGGTGGAACAATCAGTTAGTTGCTATATCACCCTCATTGCGCATCATAACATTCAGTCTATGAGTCTTTAACCATTCTCTGGGTGGAACAGTCAGTTAGTTGCAAAAGCACCACCAGTTCAGTGTTGGTGTACTATTCATTCAATTGATCCAGTATTCCTGTGTGCCTCTCTAAGATGGAGTTCCTGGTAAAACCCACATTTGAAAAACAGAAACAGGGACTCTGATAAATTGTGAGTTATGAGTTGGATTATCTTCCACAGCACTCAGATATGTACATAGGTGCTCAATTCGCCCCCCCCCCCCTTTCCCCTTTCAACATATTCATCATTGTTGCACGGTTAATAGTGCCAGTCCTGTGCTTGTTGATGAGGCTTCATATGCATCTTCCCCCATGTGGGTTCCAGGGCCCCATTGTGGGGAAAACAAGAATAGACCCACTGCCTCCCCAACAAGCATGTCGTAATAAGAGTCGACTAATTTGGGAGCTTACTTTCAAGTCTGAGTGCATCTGCCGGAGAGGCAAGGAACCCACAGTCTGTATTCAAGAGAATGAGATCTGTAAAACTGATGCACACGCAACACTCAGCTTCTGGAGCAGGACTGCAGTTTAATAGTGGACGAGCAACCAGAACCTTCTGCCAGAGTTTACAGCTGGTGAACGTGAAGAAGAAGAAGAATATGCTTGGCTGTGAAGATCTTCTCGTATTCTTAGCAGTGGTGTGGACACGTTGCTTGTTAAATCCTTGCAACGCCCTATCACTGTAAGGGCATTGTCGATGTCATCCATGGGCTGGAAATCTGCAATTAATGCAGCACTTGCCAGGTTATCCGCTCTTTCATTGCCAACAACACTTGCACACCCTGGAACACATATGAAGGTAATTGCACACACAAGAAGAGTCTTCCAGTGACTCAGTCCACTGTCTGCATAACCAACCTGCCCCTACCCACCAGATTATGCTCATAGAAACACTCAGCACACACACGAGGGAATAGTCTTGTGATTCTAGTCACATGAAAGCTTGTGTCACCACAATCACCTCCGTCATCATACTGCTGGTAGTAATGGAGAAAGCACCTCTGGTTTCTTGGTGTTCTGCCTGAAGCGCTCTTCCTGAGCTGTAGATGCCCATGTACTCTTAAGTCCTCTTATAACAAACCCGTCTGTGTAGATCAGCACATCTGTCTCATCTGACTTATCACTGATAAGCTTTGCAGAGCTTATGGTTGACAACACTAGGATTGTACTCGCCACATCTGCTGTCAAGCGTGATGACACAAGCAAATGTGAGATTGAGCGCTTCAGGCACTGGTATCCATTTCTAACCGGGGTGGATGTCTGTAAGACTGCAGACCTGCTTGATGTCATCCTCTGCCCCTCCTAGCCTTGATGGATGTCTGTAAGACTGCAGACCTGCTTGATGTCATCCTCTGCCCTACCCAGCCTTGATGAATGACTAAGACTGCAGACCTGCTTGATGTCATAATCTGCCCTACCCAGCCTTGATGATCTGCCCTACCCAGCCTTGATGAATGACTGTAAGACTGCAGACCTGCTTGATGTCATAATCTGCCCTACCCAGCCTTGATGAATGACTGTAAGACTGCAGACCTGCTTGATGTCATCCTCTGCCCTATCTAGCCTTAATGAATGACTGTAAGACTGCAACCTGCTTGATGTTATCCTCTGTCCTACCCAGCCTTGATGAATGACTGTAAGACTGCAGACCTGCTTGATGTCATCCTGTGTCCTACCCAGCCTTGATAAATGACTGTAAGACTGCAACCTGCTTGATGTCATCCTCTGCCCTACCCAGCCTTGATGAATGACTGTAAGACTGCAGACCTGCTTGATGTCATCCTCTGCCCTACCCAGCCTTGATGAATGACTGTAAGACTGCAACCTGCTTGATGTCATCCTCTGCCGTACCCAGCCTTGATGAATGACTGTAAGACTGCTGACTTGCTTGATGTCATCCTCTGCCCTACCCAGCCTTAATGAATGACTGTAAGACTGCAACCAACTTGATGTCATCCTCTGTCCTACCCAGCCTTGATGAATAACTGTAAGACTGCAGACCTGCTTGAAGTCATCCTGTGTCCTACCGAGCCTTGATGAATAACTGTAAGACTGCAGACCTGCTTGATCTTGATGTCATTCTCTGTACTACCCAGCCTTGATGGATGTCTGTAAGACTGCAGACCTGCTTAATGTCATCCTCTGCCCTACCCAGCCTTGATGGATGTCTTTAAGACTGCAGACCTGCTTGATGTCATCCTCTGCCCTACCCAGCCTTGATGAATGACTGTAAGACTGCAGACCTGCTTGATGTCATTCTCTGTCCTACCCAGCCATGATGGATGTCTGTAAGACTGCAGACCTGCTTAATGTCATCCTGTGTCCTACCCAGCCTTGATGAATGACTGTAAGACTGCAGACCTGCTTGATGTCATTCTCTGTCCTACCCAGCCTTGATTGATGTCTGTAAGACTGCAGACCTGCTTAATGTCATCCTCTGCCCTACCCAGCCTTGATTTGCTCCTTTTTAGTCTATTGCCCTTTTTCCTGAAAAGCATGGGGTGCAAAGGGTACTTCTCCTGTATATAAACCTTGATATCACAGGATGCAAGAAAACTGTTATGAGATGATGTTAAATTAGTTACATATTTTTTTTTTAAAAAGGCACTCTTTCATACCCTTGAGCATATTGGGTGTATAGTCTTCTTCTTCTGCCTTTCTATCCCCCAGTGAAGAAGAGGCCCTCAACCAACTCATGACAAGTCATTGTATCCTTCGCTCCATCTCATCTGCAACTCTCCCCATGTCCTCCCCATCTGTTTAACTTCACTCTCTAGCTCTCTTCTCCGTGTTTTTATTTGGGGTCTTCCTTTATTTGTGTGTCCCTGTGGGTTCCAGCAGCTCTTCTAATGCTCAAAGATTCTTCTTAATCAGCATTGTGTGGACAGTTAATTCTGCTACAGGGTTGTTTGACCTGTCCTAGATTCATCTTTACAGCAACATGTGAGGCTGCTGCACAGGACCGTTCTGGATGGCGTACATCCCTGAGGCATGGTGCATCAGCCTGCTATGCCGCAGAGTTGCACAGGCAGAGAAACAGAGGCAGACTAGAAATAACCATATTGCTAATCCCACACTTGCTGCAGCTTCCACCTGTTGTCCGCACTGCTCAAGAACTTACCAGGTTCATATTGGAGTAATCAGCTATCTTTGTACTCATAATTGTAGATCATTACTACTTTGGATGGAAAGTGGTCTTCATCACTCGTATTGGACAAAGAAAATATTCATCTTTAACATCACACTGTTACTACTTCTATTGCTGATTATAGTAAATTTGTTCACTCCCAGGAGAAACATACACATACGAGTGGACACCAGTGACAATTCCTGACAATGCTGAGACAGCCAAAATGGATGGAAAGAACACGGACACCCTCAGACTGTCCAATGTAAGTGTTTCATTAATGTGTGAATGAAATGTGTAAGAAAGGTATCCATTTACTTGTTCCAGGCCTAATTCTGGGGGGAAAGTAGAAAAGACCCAAAGCCTTCCCATCCATAACAAGCATGCTGTAAAAGTCAACAAATGAGGGCTGTTGTCTTTAAAGTTTAAATACATCTGGCTGTAAGGTAAGGCAACAACAGTCTGCATACATATAAGCCTGGTCTGTAAAACTGATGTGCATGCAAAACTCAAGTACTGTTTCCAGATGTGGACGAACAGCGAGAAATTTCAGCTGGAGTTGACAGTCAGTGAAAGCTAAGAAAAAGAAGTTAAATGACTTTATGTAAGGTTCATTATTCAGGTGGGCCCACACTCTGAGATTGTCTAGGAGCTCGTGGGCTGAAACAATTGTGGACGAGGGACGAGGTGCCAGCCTGACCAAGTGTCTGCAGAAGAAGAAGGAGGAAGAAGAAGAAGAAGAAGATAAAGAAAAGAAAGCAGAGGAGGTGGAAGAAGAAGAAAGAGGAGGAGGAAAAAAAAGAAGAATATGAGAAGAAAGAGAAGAAGGAGGAGGAGGAGGAAGAAGAAGTAGGAGGAAGAAGAAGTAGGAGGAGGAGGAGAATTAAGAAGAAGAAGAGATGCAAGAGGAGGTTGAAGGAAGAGGAGGAAGAAGAAGCAGAAGTAGAAGGAAGGGAAAGAAGGAGGAAGAATAAGAAGAAAAAAGAGCAAAAGAAGAAGAAGGAGGAGGAGGAGGAAGAAGAAGAAGAAGAACCTTTGTATTAAAGAACCTTTGTATTAAACTGTATTGTCTCTAGTGATATGGATGAGCAGATCGAATTTTAAAGGATCAAAAACAATCAAATATAGGGGTTCTGAAGAGACATGATGTGAGTTGCCGACAGAAATAAAAAAGAGGCCAGTGAAATATTTTGACCATATTAAAAGACATTTTGATTTCTGTGTCCTTTACATGACATTGCAGAACCAATCCTCATTTTTTTGGGAGGCTTTTGCGGTTTTCTGGGCAAATTTCAGTAGTTTTCCATTGCCTCCTGATTTAAAAACCATACTAGAGGAAAAAGTTGAGAGGCAGACTGCAATACAAGGAGAAGGATGACATCAAGAGATGGACAAACAGTACTATGAAAAAATGTATGTCCACTGTAAAAGCCAGATCTTGTCGTAAATCAGATGCAGCCAACCTTTGTTGTGGAGATGGCAATAGATTTATTTGATTGATTAATTTGTCAGACATCATAGTTGGTCTGTTTACAATACAAAACTACCACTTTGAAGCTCAATGGAAAGTAAGGTAAGGAGAACACACATAAATACAGCATAATATTTCTACCAAAGTCTTTATCAAGATAAATAAAAACAATATAAGTCATAAACCACAAAATACAAACAAGAAGGTAGTCATTCCTATTTTTGATGTATTTATAGTATATTCTGTTTGTATTTATAACTTTTAATCAGCATGAGGATAACAGAAACATGAAGATACCGAGAAGGACGAAGATGAATATTAGATAGATGGAGTTAACAAATTGCTGAAACTAAAAAACCTATTCATGCATCAAACTAACGATTGTGCACTATCCTAGAAACCGATCAATAGCTGTGCCTGTGACTCCTAACAGCATTAAGCAACAACAACAAAAAGACAATAAATAGACAGACAGATAAACTTAAAAAGTTTGAGTATTGTTGTTGTTTTCTTATGATGCATGTTGTATTCTTAGCTTATTGCTGGCCTGTATGTTCTCAAAATTAAAGTCACTGGACAGAACAAATTCGGAGAGGCTGTGATCAACGTAACAGTTCTTCCTCGTAAGTGTTTATGTTTACTGATTGATATTTTTAAGCCATTTGTCTCATGCTGCGAAGGTCATGGACTCCTTTCAAAGCTCTGTCATTCGGTTCACAATTGCGGTATTTACAGAGATCCTTGGCGATTGTTGCCGGCACTACAGAGTTCATGCTTTGTGTGATGCTCTCTGCAGGCGTCTCGCCATTCTGCAGAGAGAGACTGAGCCATATGATAAGAAGAAACTCCACAGGGGAGCATATACAGCAGGAGTCTACCAGTCATCAGTAGAAGTAATCTCTCGTCGACAAATGTTTCGGCCCACGAGCTCCTAGTCATTTTCAGAGAGTGGGCCCACCTGAGTTCATGAGGCTCAGGGTTGGTTTCTCCTGCTGCACGTCGTATTACCGGATGTTATCGGACAAGGACAAGACGAATTGGTGACTTTGCAAAAGGTACTGTGAGATAAGAAGTTGTTGCGGTAGCATAATTAAAACAGTCTGCATACCTGGACGACCAAGTGGCAAGCTTACGTTTGGTTTACCAGACACCTGTTGGACTTTGTTGGCAGGTGGCAGAGGGACACTGGCAGACACTTCGGACACGATGTACTGTAAGGGATAAGAAATTCTTTTCCACTAGACACCCGCACCAGCTCACCGAGGCCTGTCCCCCATGACGTTCCGTTGTGTCCGGAGCCAGCTCGCCCAGTTGTTTAAGTGTTCATTTGCGTTCATTACTTTGTAAGCCATATGGAATAGAACCTGGTGCAGTCGAGTCGATTCTCTTGACTTTAACTAACTTAAACTTTTTTCTTTGGCCGAATGTTAAGGGTGGGGGGAGGGGGAGCGCCAGATAAAAGCTATACCTTCTGAGTATGTGTATTTCACCAGGTTATTTTTTTTATTTTCTGGTTGTTGACGATCCAGAGTTGTTTATTGATGATTATGTTAGAAGTCTATTACTGGTTTGATATGTCAGACAGTGCAACACATAGTCTCGGCAATACTGTCCAGGCTTTATGCAGTGGAGAAGAGCCGGAAGGGAATAGGGATACTAGAGAAAATGATTGCAGAAAGGAAAAGAACTGAGCGTCTCAGAAGAAGAAGAAGAAGAAGAAGGATAAATACACATGACAGCAACAATGGTTCTGAAATCCTATGCTCTAATTTTGAACAGATTTTCTTCACATGAGTAGGTCTTGTTAGCCACGGTTGCTATTGCTTTAAGCTCCTATTCCTTTGCCTCCCCCTTTAGCACTGTTTATCAATGTCGTCTCAAAAGGTGCCAGCATGTAAGACTGTGTTATGTTAGATTATACTAGATCAGTGGTTCTCAACCTGCCTAATGCCGTGACACTTTAATACAGTTCCTCATGTTTTGGTGACTCCCAACCATAAATCATTTTCGTTGCTTCTTCATAAATTCAATGAGTATGTTTTTCGATGGTCTTAGGCGACCCCAGTGAACTTGTTGTCGTTCGACCCCTAAAGAGGTCGTGACCCACAAGTTGAGAACCGCTGTACTAGGTAGTATATAATTGGATATGTGATATTGTTAGTATTTGCTGGGTTTACAAAGTATTTGTAATGCTTAACAACCTATTGAAGACATAGGGGCTTAGTTTAAACACAAAACTCAGATTATACAGGAGCAACATTTGTTAATTATACTATTAGATTTTGAAATGGTGTTGGTTTCTTAGGCATTGAGAACACACTTAGTAATTCAGAGGTACCCGATTCTATTCCACCTGCAGACATTTTGGCAGCAGACCATCTTGTGATGGTTTCGACAGTGGTGTCGACAGCTGACCATTTAGCAAGCAATCACAAACTAGTGAAAAATCTAGTGGAAAGCACAAACTGCCATAAAATGCTGCGGGTTGGTTCTGCAACGTCCAGTAAAGGATACACAGCTAACTGTTATACAACAGTGAATGTTAAAAAAATGACAGTAGGAATTGCACATCAACTCTAACCATTTCAGTGGTGATATTTAAGGAGAATACTGTAAATATGTTGGCCAAACAAGATAAAATAAAATGAACAACTGAAGAGGAAAACAAAATATTCATCACTGGTAGATGTTGTAACAGGAAGAAGATGGAGACGGCTTGCACATGTTTCCAGACTGCCTCGTGACTGCCTTTGGCAAGGACAGCTGTTTGATGGACAGCAGAAAACAAAAACAAAAACAACAAACAAAAAAAGAATGGGCCACCAAAGGAAACATGGAAAAGGGTAGTAGAAAGGGAAATGAAGGAATGCAAAATAGCATAAGGTACAGTAGCAGACCGGCAGCAGTGGAGGTCGTAATGTGAATGCCTTATGTGTCAACAACGACGTGAGTAGGATATTATATATATATATATATATATATATATATATATATATATATATATATATATATATATATATATATATATATATATATATATATATATATATATATATATATATATATATATATATACTGGGTAATATTATGTTGGGGTATGTATGTGGTTGGTGTAAGCTTGTGTATGTAAATTACATTAATGTATTTTGAATTACGTTATTAGGTTAAGAAATATGTTTTATACTCATTCGTATTAAGTTAGGTTGGGGTCTACAGTATAAGCGTAATATGTTACATACTAGACTTTGTTATGTTAGAGTGTATTATATATGTGCTATTATGGTAGCGTATACTGGATTACATTATGTTAGGTTGAGGTATAGCAATTGGCTTATAGCTAGAGCATTTGGCTTTCATGCAGGAGATCCAGATTTGATCCTCGGGGCATATAGAAAGAGAAATACAGAGACACATGACATATAAACAGAAGCTGATAAATGAAGAGAGAGATAAGCAGACCAAGGTAGGAAAAAAAACAGTTTGACAGAACTAGAGAGAATCCAGTTTTTGCTTTGATTTTTTATTTTACGCTTCCTAGAGATCCATATGTTTTTTAAAATCCAGTTACTCCCAGTGAATGTTCTGCTTTTCATTTCAGCTGCACGTCACAACCAACCCCCTCATGCCATCATTCATCGCCCTGTACAGGAAGTATACTTGCCAAATGTTGCCATTTTGGATGGATCAGGTTTGGAATCTTTTCAATATTCTTCAAATTTTAGTTGACAAGAAGATTTTTTGAATTTTTTTGAGATCACACAGTAAGAAGGTTTTTTTTTTTTTAATTAGTTGTAAAAAAATTGTTTATTAATCTTTTCAACGATTGCAGCTTGAAAGATTAAGTGCCCAGTGACCAAAATAGTGGCTATTCAGGTGAGAATAAAACAGAAGCGAATCCTAGAAACCCTATCAACCATACAATATAGTTATATTGTGCCATCCGTCGAACAACAGATTAACATCTTAGCACCAGTTGTGTAACCCATAATTGCTCCGTTCTACTTCTAATTCAAGCCTGAGTCCGAAGAATCTCAGTGCAGTGGATGAACATCATAGCACCGGTGAGGATCCTAAAATACTTTAGGTAGATTTTAAACTCTACATTTTGCCTGGGCTGTGCCTTTAGGCTACTCTTTTTAATTTCCAACTGCCAGGGTTTTTTTTGTACGTGCACAACGATACACACGAGCGTCCGATCTTACTACCCAGAGACCAGGGAAAATTACTAGAAGACCACGTGAAAAAATCCCAGCCTTCACTGGGGCTTGAACCCGGGACCTGTAGCACTTGGACGTCATGCCACAAGACCATGCAGCTCCTTGCTTGTTAGGGGGCAGTGTATCTATTCTGTACACTTTTGTTCATTCCCCCTTCCCCACCCACCCAGTGGGGCCCAGGAATCTACACTGGGAAGTTTAATGACCAAACAACATGAGCCTAACATTACATCATAATTACGGCAAGTTCCTGGAGATATTTTATCAACAGGATTGCACAGAATGAAATTAACTGCTAGCTGTATATGATGTGTAAACAGCACACCAGAATGAGAATGCTCAAGTTTTTTAAATACCCATGTGTGATCTGGGCCTATATGAGAAGTCAAGAATAGTAACCCGCAGTAACTTGCTGTGACTACCATTAGAGATAACAGAGGGGAATTGGCATAAGGCTAGCCACGATTTCTCATAGGAAATTTGAGCTGCAAAATGCAATGAGTCTGCTCTGGGATTTGTGTTTTTTGTGTGTGTGTGTGTGTGTGCTAGAGGCACGTGAAACCCTCTATTCCATTGAGAAAGAAACGGCAGTAGAAAATGTTCTTATTTATACATTCATATACACATTCTTATTATTTTTAATCTTCATGATACAGAGAGCACATTATCACAGTGTTAATACTCTTCTTTGTCATGTGGCTGTGTATTTACTTCTTAGCCATTTTGGTCCTTCTTCTGTGTGTTCTCTCTCTCTCCATCTCCCTCCCTCCCTCTCTCTTTTTCTCTTGCTTGTTCTTTCTCTGTCTCATTCTGTCCCACTTTTTCTCATTGTTTGACTCTTTCTGTGTCTGCCTACCTTCTGTCTCTTAATCTCTGTGCAGTTTATATTTCACATGTCTTCTTCTTATAGTCTGAACGTTTTGGCATTGGTAGTCATGTCTGTCAACAAGTTTCAGTCAGTTCATACGCAGGGGAACTTCTCTTATGCCAGGATATCATATTGTCCAGTATTTTTTTTCTCCTGGTCTCCCTCTGCCTCTTTTCTCTTCCAACTTTACAATTGTCTTAAAATACTTGTTTTCTCTCTCTCTCTCATAACACGAACAAAGAATTACATTGTCTCTTTCTGATGTAGGAAATCAGTTTTCTTTATGTGTTAATTTCTTTCAAGACATCTACATTACTTATTTTGTCCATCAATGGCATTCTCATCATTCCTCTATAAAACTACATCTTGCTGCTTCCACATAATTCTGAGTTTCATGTGCTCACACTTATTGTTATGTATGATCTCCATGATACAGAAAGCACAGATGATGACCACATCACAACCTACAAGTGGGAGGAGGTCAGTGGTCCACTTCAGGACCATGAACTGAATCACGAAGGTCCCATGCTGACCCTGA